AGATGCACAAATTTGGGGGCTGTCAGCTCCTGCGTTCCAGTTGATTTGATCTTTTGTGTTCAAACACAAGGTAAAAGGAAAATCTCTCTGAAATGTTTTGGAATTGGATATATTGTCAGAGAAACTGGCTTGTGTTTTTTGGTGTTTTTTTGTTTTGTTTTGTTTTTGTTTTGTTTTGTTTTGTTTTGTTTTGTGTTTGTTTTTTTTGTTTTGGTTTTTTTTTTTTTTTTTTGTGATTTCACTGAGAAACCAAAGGATACCTGCAAGTGTTAGAAAGAGTTTGAATTTGATCCTTTCAAAGAAGTTTGGCAAAATAATATTTTTTTTACTTTTTTTTCAAAAGGACCTGGATAGCTACAACAGTGCTTTACTGATAACTCCCTGGTGACAGAGGTTGTCTCACTTAAAAAGATGGTTGACAAATCAAGCTTATAAAACGTGACCTGTAGATACACTGATATAGCAGTGTGTACAAGTTTGCTGAAATAATGTGAGATGTGATCTTATTACCTGTTAGATAAGGATTCTGAAGTCTATCTTTTTTGAGCTGCCCTCAGAGCATTTGAGAAAGACTAGGAGGGTCTGTACAGTTTATTGTGAATGGTATTATATTACCATATAGCATTAATTGTATGAATTCATTGCACCACAGCAACTGCTTTACAGAGTACCAACCAATTATGTCATTTATTTTTATTCCTTGATTGAACTTAAAGTTGCTTTTTGGGGCTCTTTTGAAGTCAAAATGAGGAGCTAATGTATCAGTGGTGCAAAATTGGAGCATAGTTTGAAGAAAACATAATTGAAATCACAGCATTAAGAACAAAAATTCCAACTGATTTGGTAGTTTTCCTTAAAGTAATTTTTGACTTCACCTTGCAGAGAAGTTGAATGGCTTAATCTCTCTACCAAAAGCATAACCCAAAGGCCCCCTGGACCCCTAAAGCAGTGGTGAATTTGCCAGAAGGTCAGCTGGCATGGCAATCTTAGGTATGAAAACACAGTTCCCTGTTTAGGATGGAAAGAGCTGGAGACGTTCCCCCACCCCCCAAGGACGCTTGCCTCCTGTGAGGAAAGTCATGATGCATCTCGCGTGTGAGGGATACATCTCTCTTCTTCTGACAGCTGCAAAACTTAAAGGCAGTGATTTGAGGAGGGGAGATGGATGCTGTGGATTGGCCTTCCCCAGCACAGCACACGTCTATTCTTCCGGCGCGTAGCACAGCGCTCGTTACGGTTCTGTGCAGAGTGATTTCTCTGCATGGCCAGGTGATGCTTAAGGAGACTAATGAGAGAAATGATACGGCCCAGAACACTGGTGTCAGGAAATATATTGCAAGGTGTCTATCTTGGGGAAGCTGGAAGCGGGGCTTGTCTTATTATATATTTCAAAGGGTATGTCTGTGTCACCACCAAGTCAGACATGCACCCTGTCCCGTACTGCATTCAAATTACTTTTTTTTTTCAAATCATAGCTTTCCATTCAATTATCGTTGGCTTAATGATAGGCTCTGTGTTGTACGAGGGCAAAAGAAGAGTCCATTGCGTTAGCACACCGTACTTTTGTGGCAGGAACTTGTTTCTGAGGCCATTGTAACATAACTATGCAAGTGTCAGAGGACAGGATAGAGGCTATTATGGGCTTCTGGTTTTTGTGAGGAAAATCAAACAAATGTCCCTAATAGAAAAAAGGAAGCTAGCAGCTCGATGTGATGACCAGAGAATGTTTTTGTGCTGTGACACTGTCAGTACGTGGTCTGTTGTCAAACTGAAAAAAATTCCTTTTCAAATGTTTTTCTCGTTCTGCTGGCAACCAAAGTGGAGAAACTCCTCCTGTGAATTTTCATGAGATATCTTTTCCTCATTTCTAGTACTTAACAATACAATTATATTTGGTTTTATGCTAATATTTACCTCTATTGCTGTTGTTAGGTTTTTGAATCAGAGTGATTTTTCTATCCTGATGGTGTGGGAAAAAATATGTTTCATTATGACTTGTTACATCCCTGGAAATATCTTCTCTTGCTTGGGTTGATGATTATTTTTTATGTTGCATTCTATACCGATGCCTAAAGTGAAGTAGAATGAAGCATAAGGAAGAGAAGCTTTGCTAAAATATCGCTCCTTCCACTGTGTAGAATTATCTTGGAAAAAGCTTGCATCTTTCTAATGTTGCGCTTTTCTTCTCCCCACTATTATTCAAGTAGTTTTTACAGATGAATGTTGTTTTTGCAAGGGCTGTTTATGAAGCCATTGCTCTTAGCAACACCTGCTCACCTGCGAGCAAATTACATGGCACAGATAAGGTATCTAGTTGTTTCTCGATAGGGTGACCTTAAAAACAGATTCTGCAACAAGACAAGCTTTTAAATTCCTAACCAAATATATTACTTGAGTAATAAAAAGAGCTCCTCAAAATGGCCACAGAGGCATTTCAGAGCACATTCTTGGGAATATTCACTCGTGCTAGTATTCATTAAGTTTGCTTTCAGCAAAAATTCTTGTGAATGAAATTTTATTCTCTAGTCATTATGATTATTACTTTACTATCATAGCAATAACCACATGCCTCGTATAAGGCCAGAACCTGATTTTGTCTAAGGCTGGAGAAACATCTTATGGGGTCTCCAGAGAGTGTATTGTCTAAATATAAGACCAGACTTGGCTAACAGCTCGTGACTGGGAACTGCAAACCCTCAGAGAGCAATGGGTTTGTTTACAAGAAAATTCACAGCTAGAGAAGGATAGTTGCAGAACCATACCAAATATTATACCTTTTGAGCTATAGGATACTACAGTGTTACAACTCCACTGAATATGAATGTAATTTTACATTTTTATGTTATAAAAGTAGTTAAGGTAATGGTGACTGACTTTACAAATAAAAGAGAATATCACTACAGATGTGGTTCATTACTACATTGAACTAGTTTATCTACACACTAATGAATACACTGGATCTGGACTCTCTTGGTTGTTTGGGTTTTTGTTTGTTGATTTTTTTTTTTTTTTTTTGGGGGGTGGGGGGTTTTTGCTGATGTTTCTTATTAATTTTGAAAATGGCCTAATGCAAATATGTATTCCAGGGAAACCCCTGAAGCACAGACTATGCCAAAGAATTGGACTCTGAGTTGTGCAGTACATGGACTCCCAGGATGTGAATAAAGCCCTTCCTGGAAAAGTTAAATGAGATTTTTAGCTATTCACAGCTGAAGTCTGCATGAAGTCTTGTTTCCTCCAATCTAGAGGAACATAATAGAGCAGAGGTATCCTATCATGCTGGTGGAAATTGTACCTAAGTCTAGGCACAAGGAAGTATTTTCAGAGCTGGAGCTCATTTGCTGAGCACAATGCGTATAACATTGTTTTGTGTGCCTCTATGTACTGGTGGAAAAGCATATCTACCATGCTGTGATTCTGCTGGCCAATGTGTAGAATCCTTCAACATGCAGTGACTGGCACTGGCTGCTACCTGGAACATTGATTTTTGGGTGTACCAGGGTGCAAGATGCACTGTGACCATGGGTACAAGGTGCATAATGTATACATGCAAAATGAAAAGGTTCTGTGAAGTGGAGGGAAGGAGTGTTAAAGAGGCAGTGTGCCAACCCCTTGTGTTACTCAAACCCCAAAATAACCATTCCTCTCTGCCTGTAGATCGATCAGAACAGTTTGTTGGCAGCAGAACTAAGCACAGGACACTGAGTATTTCTCCTCTTTTGTTGTCTAACTGCTCTCTTTCCCCATGTCATGAGAAAAATAAATAATCTGATTAAGTCCTTCGACATTTATAATTAATTAGTTCTTCCTTACTCTTATCTTGTTTGCCTGTCCTTTTGTCTGGCTCTTTTTTCTACTTTATGTCTCAATGATCAGATACAAGAAATCATTAAATTTATTTATTTTTAGCAGATAAATGCAGCTTTACAGCATGTTCTTTTCTTTTGAAGAAAGACTTGGTCCCTTCTTTTGTCCATCCCACTGCACAAGTTGTCATGTTCTGGCACTGCAGTCACTTTCAAATCCTTGAGCTATCATGTATTCTGTTGGTATTTGAGGAATTGAAAATCAATCACACAGCCTTATGGCTTGGGTTCAGCACAATTCTATTATGCCCACTCGCAAAAGTCAATTCAAACCTTTTGGGTTATATTTCAAAGCCTAATCAAGCTTGCTGTCCAGACTGGTTTGGAGTCAGCTTACTCTTGTCCATAGGTCTGTTTATTAGAGGTTTTATGTCAGAAACCAGTGTAAAAGAAAGCAGTTTTCATAGCAGTAGAATCACTCCGTGGGCATTTTGCAAATACAAACCACCCAAGCAGGTTTTATGGTAGAGGAATACTTACTGTCGTAATACAGTTCTGCAAGTATGTTTTTAAAAATTTAAAAACCCCAAAATTATGTTGGTAACATAAAGCTATGCTTATATGTGTACTTGGTCATAAAAAGGTGTCCCAGTTTACTGAGATTAGTTTTTAGCCCTGTCAGGTTAAGCTGGTAAGAAAGTATTGTAGATGCAACCCTGAACTTAGATGGTGACTTTCGTGCTTTGGACCATATGAACAAATGAGAGTGGTGCACCCAAGCAGATGGACCAGCTCCTTCAAGAATGAGTTGTGCCACTTCCACTCGGCAGGTGCCCATGGGACTGCATGTACAGTGTCTGTGTCAATCCCCTGATTTCCAGCAAGTGCCAAAAGCTCGCCCTGAGAATGAAAGTAGCTCTTATAGAACTGACCATTAGCAATCATCTGTGAAAATATGTACCTGTTGTGTACTGGGGGCAGATCAGTCTCATACCTTTCTGAAGAAAGCAGGGACAGGTTATGGTATTTCCAGCTGATTTGTAGAAGCCTTCTCATTCAGTGAAAGACTGGTGGCTGTGTTGTGGGAACCAAGTGTGCAGTACAAATAGGAAGCAGCTCTCTCTTGCCATCGCCTGTGGGTAAAGGCCTTTCTCTGTGACCCATTCATGTTTCTTCTCATCCTGTGTTCTGCAGAGGCGCAGGGATTTTCTCCAGTGGATGCTTGACTCCTGTGACTCAGCTGACTCCCTGGCAGCCGGGTGCTCTGATGTGATCAGCCCATCTGCCACTTCCAGACAGAACGAGCCACCTCTTCCTGGCAGGGCCCCATCTGAAAAGGTTCAGAAGACGCTAACAGAGGATGAGATAGCAGGCCAAGCTTTCCTGTTCCTGATTGCTGGCTATGAGACCACCACTAGCACACTGTCCTTTGCCACGTACTTGCTAGCCACCAACCCAGAGTGCCAGGAGAAGGTGCTTCAGGAGATTGATGAGTTCTCTGCTAAACACGTGAGTATGATGTGTTATGAGTATGGTGTGGAGCTTCCTGCAGGGATCAAGGCAGTGTGAATGCCGTCATGCCACTGTGGCACCTGCATGACCCCTATTTGTCTCAGCCATATATGCATATATTAACACTTTATTAATATTTTCAGTAAATAATTAAAAATCTCTATCGTTTAGGTTTTTTTTGGAAGCTGTTCAATTAGATCACTTTACAGCAACACAAGAGATGGCCTAGAAACTTCGTGTCATAGTGAAAGCTTAGCTTTTTAAAAGTATTTTACATTATTGAAATCAACCAGCTGTTGTCAGGCTCTAAAACTAAAACATTTCCATTTTTTCCTCTTGTACAAATACTTTTATTGGTTTTGTTTTTAATTTTATTTACTGATCTTTGTAGGAAAATAAACAGTGTTCTTACATACCATAAACTGGGAAGTTTTGCTTTAAATGTTCATAATTTTTTTGGTTTAGCAGCAGAATATATGTGTAAGCTTAAAAAAAAAAAATCACAATATTTAGTTCTCTTATACTATGTTCAAACTGCTTTTCCTTCATATCTGTATTTGCTAAGGGCATTTATGTTTCCTGGATAACCACTGACCATATTTGGTATCATTAGCAGACCATGCAGCAGTCATTCTTCCACCCTACGCTCTCTGCACAAGTTGGTGGTTATGATAATTCAGATTGAGGGTCTTTTTCTTTTCACAAATGCTTTTATAACAGAACATGAGCCTAACAGGAATAAAATTACACCAGGCATGGCTGTCTTGGAGGATTTTAGCTGCAGGATTTGCATGCTGAAAGCCTTTACTATACAGTTGTTGGGGTTTCATACTTTTATGCATTCTATTCTGTGTTGTACTTACAGAACAAGAAAAGAGCTGTATAATTTTCTGCTTTGCTCGTGCTAGAAAATTCTCGACTATGCACAGTTTGTCCATTCAAAAGCTTCTGTTTCCCTCCTCTTGCTTGTGGAAACATAAAAACCAGCGTTCCTGTACACAGAAAATGTTGTCTGTTGTCTTTCACGGTGAGGTTCTGAGCATGGTGGTTCTCCACCTAAGATTGCCATTGCTTTGAGGGTGCAGATGGATGACAGCAGTGGAGGTTAGGGTTGTGCAGTCAGATCCACAGAGCTTTTTTTCGGTGCATGCTTCATACCTACTGCTGGCATGAGCTAACTCGATACCACGAAACCATTGATATTCTAACTGTAGGGCTTGGCTTATATCCTTAGGTTGTTAGCTCTCCATCACTGCAGCTAGAGTGTATTTACTTGTTTCATTCACATATGGCAGACCTATTTGTGGCCTCGTGTATAGTTAGGTCAACTGACTTCCGTAAGGCCTGCAAAGATCGGAAGGTGCAACTTGTTCTGGAGTATGTGCAGTTTGCTGGTTAATACTGGTGGCAGAGTTGCACACAGAAGCACTTATTATTCAGTCCCAAGGAAAATATGGTTCATCTCCTCATCAATTCCTGGAAGCTGACAGCCTAAGAAACTAAAGTGAAATTGCTGGGAGAGGTATCCAGTAGGGTAGGTTCGTGATGTCATTCGTGTCTGTCTGTAGATGGTGATCTGAATTAGACCTTTTCCATGTAAGTGCATAGAAAGCTGACTGTAAGCAGTAATTAACTGGCTGATTGTTTATGGATATTTCATGTAGGGAGTCCACGCATACAGCCATGTCCATGTTAACTAGCAGCGTGCTCCCATAGACAGATTCATCCTCTAGCACAGCTGGTAGTGAGGACTGTTGGATGCACACTCTGTGCACCTCAGGAGTTTATTTTGGGTTAGTCTAAGCCTGGCTCTGTGTACCAAATTCCTCCTAGCAGTTGGTCTGGTTTAGTTCAAGTTAAAGGAGCCCTTGTTGCGTACTTGGAGACTGCAGTGTGAAGCAGTGCAAGAGATTCGGCTGTGAGTCTGCTCCTGATCCAAGCTCAAGAACTAAATGGAACCTGTGTTGTATATGGTTTGAGTGAGCTGTTACTCACCATTAGTAATATTTCAGCAATAATCCAACTCAAATGCACAATTCTTAACTCTCTTGGTTCTCTAGGAATATTTTGCTAATGATTTCAGCTTTTGCACTATCTAGGAGACCTAAGGACACTTGTGGTAATGTGTAGAGAGATGGCACTCAAAGTAAACTAATAATTTCTTCAGGTCAGCACTGTATACAGTCTGTGTGGTGCCCTCAGCCCAAACTGGTGTCCTCATCCCAAACTATGCTGTCCCACATCGCATATAATTATTGGAAGATCCTTCAAATAACTTCCCTGTACTTTATGAATTTTCAGGTTGAGCTTTAGATGATGCATATTTTGCTGCATGGCCAAGGGAAAGAGGGAGAGAAGGATAACTATTCATCTGCAGTCCCTGATACAAGGAAATTCATAGATCTGGTCTGTGCAGCCCCATCCTTCAAAAGATTTCCTTTTATAAACAGTTCATGATTTGGCAGCGGGGCAGAGGGGCAATACACTAGGCAAAGAGCCCATCCCAGAATAAGGAAAAGAGTGCAGCAGTTCAGTCCCCTTAGTGACTGTAATTAACTACTTTTAGCCTAGAAAATGAGATCTATGTGAACGGTTTGCAAGTTACGGGAGCAGAAGCTATTTTAGAACAGGGTATATATAGATGCTATGTTCAGTTGTCATGCAAGAGAGAGGAAGGGAGAGGACATAGAAGCTACAGGCTCACAGTTAGTTATCAAGTCAGTTGCTAAGAAATTTGATTAGGTTATTGCTTGTATTCAGCACATCAGCTTTGCTCTTATCAAGGCGCTTTGCAATTTTCAGAAAGGAAGGGCTTTAGAAGGCCAAAACATGGGGAATGATACAGTCAAGTTGTTTTGACAGGTGGTAGAAGACTGATTTGATTTGCAGATATGCAAGTATTAAACACAGTACCCTCTTCAGCCAAATTTATACTCAGGTAATTATAACTACAAAATGCTCTCCACCACATCCCCTTCCTTTCTTCAACCATTGCAGTTGCCTCATGCAGCATGTTTTATTACCCTGATCTGTGGTGTAGAGATGTGGTATGATTTTACAGCAGCTGCTGTGTATCATCCCAGAGATGGCTGTACTTTGGTGGTGGACAGAGTGATTTATATACTCATTTACCAAAGTTTATAAAGACATGTGAGAGCCATCTGAGAAGAGGTGCTATAAATGACAGGCACAGTTCCAGTTTTTTGGCACTCCAGCTAAAAACGCAAAGCACGGTGACCTTGTGATAGTCTGGAAGGTGAGAGAGCAGGGTTAGTCCATCTGGGTGTACAGCAATATTTTGGTCGCTCTGGGTGTTTTACTTGAGGATACCCCCGAGTTTGCTGTGATTCTTGCCTGTCTGATTTGTGCAGTGGGTTTCTTAGCAGGATGGGAGTGCATAAAGGGTATGGAGAAAGCCGAGACACTGCTGGGCTAGCAAGTGGCTGCAGTGCGGTGCAGAAATATAAGACTAAGTGCTGGAAGTGGTCTAGCCCCAGCAATGTGCTGGGAGTGGGGAGCCCAGAGGAGAGGTAAGTCTGATGATCATGTTTTCCTGCTGTGTTGTGTCCAGCCAAATTTGTTTCAGAGCTGCCTTAGGAGATGTCACTGCCTCTCCCCACCACACTGCCTGAATACATTGTGGAGATGACACTTCCAGGGAAGTGTCCTCAGAAAACAGTGCCTGAAGTGAGTCGTGGGTTGTCATCTCTTTTTTTTACCTCTAGGACCATCCTTATGTGTTTGCTAAAGGACTTTCTAGGTCTTTCTTGACTGTTATCTCAGTGTGGAGATGGTGCCTCTTTCCCTCCAAGTGAGAAGAGGCACCTGGCCCATTTCGCAACCTGCCAAGCAGAAGACTCTAGCCTTGATTATTGCATAGGGTAGGACACGTAGGTTATTTCTCTCCTCACCTCTGTCTGGGTCTTTGGGATGTAGGGAAAGGGAGTGCACAGCCTTTTATTATCCCTGGAGAAGCAGAGAAACAAGGTACTGAGTGGTGGCTACTGCCATCACACACTGCATCTTCCCGTTCTACCTCTGAATCCCTGTGTCTGCTCTAACTGCACTGGGAAAAACAAGTTTAAGCATAATTCCTCTAACACACAAATAAAAATTCAAATTGTAGAGGCTTTGACCTGATCCTCTTCATAAATCCCTTGAGGGTGTAGTATGTGCACTGTGAAGGGCAATCCACTGAAAATAAGATGTACCTATTTGCTCCAAGCTTGTTGCTGGGTGTGCAGCTTGCTTTGATACCATGAAGACAGAATAAACAGGATGAAAAGAGAGTTAAATATGAGCTGGTGGGGGCAGGACGCCTACATCTGTGTCTGTATAAAATAATATTACTTTCTGCAGAGACCACAGATCTGTTTCCAGGACAGCAAAGAGGGGTCAGATCTTCAGAAGGCTGTAAACTGGCACATGTTTGGTATTAGTAGAGGTATAGTGATATGCATTATTTGAGAAGCAAGCCTGGTATATACCATTAAAGGAGCACAGGGGGAAAAAAACCCACGAAAGTCTGCTATTTCAAGACCTCATTCTTTTTATAGCATTTGTGGCTAACCATCCCTAAACTGTTAGAGGCTATACAGTTGTGAAAGAGATGTTTTTATCCATATTAACCCAGTGAGAAGGAATGCACCCATGGTCTTCACCTCTGCATGTCAGTTAATAATAATCCCTGTGCAGAGTTTTTAAAGAACAAGATGTGTTTAGGAACAGTTCTTGCACTTGTGACTGATTATTTTGTTTTAAAAGCAGGTTGATTTTTGTTTATGTGTGTGTGCACTTAGCAAAAGCATAGCAAGCCTGCAGCATAAATTCGTTCTGAGCAGATGGACACTTCCTTCTGAGCACCACTGTGTGCTCTGAGCTGCTCTCTGTGCTTTGTCCTAAGCCACAGTGCTTAGGCCTTGAAAAACTGCATCTTCCATGCTGGGGATTCCCAGCCTCTTTTTCTTACCTCATTTTAGCATTTACATGTATCTCAC